TATTTCTACAATAGTCCCAACCACTCAACTTTCTATTGGCTTAACCATACATCATATGAACTCTGTATCTCAAAAATTTCTACTTTTCTTCCCAGAGGAGTCTTACTCGGTCTTATTCCCAGGCTGGAGTGCAGTGACATGGTATTGGCTCACTGCAACCTCTGGCTCCTGGGTTCAAGCAATTCTCCGGCCTCAGCCTCCCGAGTAGCTGGGATTATAGGCACACACCACTAAGCCCAGCTAATTTTTGTATTCTTTGAGACAGAGTATTGCTATGTTGGCCAGACTATTCTCAAAGTCCTGATATCAGGTGATCTGCCCACCTCAGCCTCCCAAAGCGCTGGGATTACAGGCTTGAGTCACCATGCTCAGCCTCAAATACTTCTATTTCATTAAGTATCCCCTATCTCATCATGCAAGAGAGACCTTCTCACTCCCATAAAGTCCAACAGCACTTGCTGATTTCTACTTTTTAACCACAACCACAAAGTAACCCCAAAACCATAACCAGAAATAGACTGTAAACATCACTGCAAGGTAGTACTGAACAAGTGCTGGTAAACATTCAATAACTCAAATGATCTACATCTGGGAATGGCTAACTACTTCATGGTGTAAATGTATGAGGTCAGATATTAGGCCTAGATTCTGATCTGATACTCTGTCATAAAGAAGTAACTGTAAAATACCTAAAAACTTGTTTTCTAACATAAAAAAAATCAGTACTTGGCACAGTGACTCACACCTACAGTATCAGCTGAAGAAAAATGATGGCCTGAGTCCAGGAGTTCAAGACCAGCCTAAGCAACAGTGTGAGAGCTCAGCTCTAAAAAAAAAAAAAATTGCAAAACTAGAATTAGCCAGGCATGTTGGCATGTGACTGTAGTACCAGCTACTCTGGTGGGTGAGGTGAAAGGATCGTTTGGGCTAAGGAGTTCAAGGCTGCAGTGAGCTATGTTAATGGCACTAAACTCCAACTGTGAGATAGTATCTCTCTTTAAAGAACTTAGTATTGCTGCCCCATTCATTGAATGCTTAATATTTCTTAAACATCTATTGTGGGCTTTGTACAAGTTGATCAACTGCACCCAGCTGAAGAAAAAAAACACATAAACAAAATCAACTGTCCTAAAATACCAATAGTATCATATAAAAGCAAGTACTATACTCACTGTGTTCCATAACATATGCTCCATAAATATTATTCCTCCTCCTTCCTGGACAACACTTAGAAACCTAGAACTCCGGCACTTCTATTTTTTTTCATCCGAGAGGTGGTAGTCTCATTTTCACACATCCTTGTTTCCATCTCACCAAGTGCCTGTGCCTTCTGTCATCCAGGGTAAGTTTCCTTTTAGCTTTCAACAACGTACAACATGTAGAAAAAAAAAGTAGCTCATGATATCTACACAAACAAAAAAGAGTATCTGAGGAACTAGCAAAGTGCAATACTACACCTGCCATTTTTATGTATTCAAAGTTTTCACAACATTTTCTGCAGAAAATTTTGAAATCAAAAAGTCTAGTGAGGCATACTGACTAGATTTCAGAGTGTCATTTTTAAGCTCAAGTTTTGAAATCATTATGTTCAGACAAGGTCCTGTATCATCATGAATCTAGCCAAGGCCTCTGCAATATACACTTATTTTTCTTTACAAGGTTATTTTACCTGAGCAGTTTATGTTTCTGTCCTAAAAGCACTTAGTATGATTTTCAGCCTCATTGTGACACTACTGAGTAGGATCCACATTGACGACACGTCAAAGTTTAGCCATCAGATTCTCTTCCTTTCAGAGGCATCAACTAAGTGGTCAAAAAATGGTATCACATGACACTGAAAAAGTTGCAACACAAATATCCTGTTTCAGGTCCAGATGTAATTCTCCCACTACAAAAATCCCACGAAAATATACCTTCCTTTATTACATAAAATTCATATACTAAACATTAATATGTGTATGAATATGATAAAGAGAACTGGAAGGCAAATGTAAGACAGAACGAAGCAATGTATTACTGACTAGAAAACATGCCTTTAAAAACTTCAACCCAGGCTGGGCGCGGTGGCTCATGCCTATAAACCCAGCACTTTGGGAGGCTGAGGCGGGTGGATCACGAGGTCAAGAGTTTGAGACCATCCTGGTCAACAATGTGACACCCCGTCTCTATTAAAAATACAAAAATTAGCTGGGCATGATGGTGCACACCTGTAGTCCCAGCTACTCGGGAGGCTGAAGCAGGAGAATTGCTTGAACGCAGGACGCGGAGGCTGCGGTGAGCCGAGATCGCGCCATTGCACTCCAGCCTGGGTAACAAGAGCGAAGCTCTGTCTCAAAAAAAAAAAACTTCAACCCATGGCTGGGCATGGTGGCTCACACCTGTAATCCCAGTGCTTTGGGAGGCTCAGTTGGTCAGATCACCTGAGGTTAGGAGTTCAAGACCAGTCTGGCCAACATGGTGAAACCCCGTCTCTACTAAAAATACAAAAATTAGCTAGATGTGGTGGCCCACACCTGTAATCTGAGCTACTCAGAAGTCTGAGGTAGAAGAATAGCTTCAGCCCAGGAGGCGGAGGTTGCCATGAGCCAAGATCACACCACTGTACCTCAGCCTGCATGACAGAGTGAGACTCTGTCTCGAATAAATGAATAAATAAAGACTTCAACCCACAGATTATAACTGACTACTTGCTGAAATTAGTAAACGTAGTATCAGAGGTAAACATATCAGATAAAGGGTGTTTTTACTAATATCTGAAACAAGATCATGAAAATTCTAGACAACAGCACTATTTCACATAATTACCTATATAGTTTCCACTTATGATATTCTATTACAAGAACCTGAAAGAAACAAAATACCAGTATGTTAATAACAAACTTCTGAAATTTGACATCATAATTAGGAAATGAGTTCACAAAAGCAGGGAGCTTCCCTAAGCAACTTTCAAAATCCTTTCAATTCCAAGCCAAGTTTACTTATCACATAAAAACAGAATACCTCAAATACTTCATAACCTATTTTAAGGTAGCATAATTATCCCAGAATTCTATTTGAAATTATTCTATAAGCTACAATGAACGCATGGCAAACATGATGTGCAACATGGAAATATTTGTGGAGTCAGTTAACATGCATATCAGGAAATCAGAAAGTTGACCCATCATGTTTTAGATGAGATATGTATTTATTTTAATGCAAGAATGTAGGATGGTTGTTAAGTAACATCAAGCATTAACTACCAAGAATATTTGAAGACTGGTATGCTGATGTGCATCCCTAGTGGAAACATACAGAAGCATAGACTAGCATTCCGTAACAAAAAATTTACCACACTCAATTATACTAAAATCTATATCCAAAGTTTCTTCTATTATATCATCACAATCAGGATTTGCAAAGAGGCCAGGAAGTTCCAGACAAAAGAAAACAGTATTATCACCGAGCGAAGTAACTACAAGAAGCAAGAATCTTGCAAAATCTAGAGTTCTTATAACTTACCTTTAACTCATGCAACAGGCCATATTCAATTAAAAATATCCTGAAAACAGGTTTTCTTCAAATATGCTTCATAATCTTTCATGCCATAATCTAAGGCCCATCTACACCAGCGCACCAATGCAAGGAGAAACGCTTCCCCTCCAAAAACAAAAAAAAAAAAGTAATCAATTCTAAGTACTTGCAGAGCAATATGGAAAGAACTCACAGGTCTCTCTACATACCACCCCACAGTTTGCAGAGGAAAAGTGTTTGTCTTATCATCAGTTAATCTGTCTGAACTGAGAAGCTCTTCGGCCTTCAAAGATCCAGATAAAGTACTTTGGTCATGGCTTTGGTAAATCAAGAAGCTTGTTTTAACATTTATAAATTCTGTAAACAGTGATGTCACTCCTATATTATATAATCTCCTAAAGCAACTAAGGCTTGGCCTCTTTATTTTCCTTACCTGTGAGTGGCCATTAATCCTAGTAGCTATTCTGGCAGAGACCATTTATCAAGTCAGTAACAGGAACTGTTGTCACTCTGATAATTCCTCTTCCTTGGGTGATTACCACCTGCAAGCATGTGATTTAAAAGATGGAAAAGGTGACATTCACAACCACTACTGGTAAATTCAAGAGAAAAAAATGTAATTCCAATCAGTCTATCAGTATCGTTATGGCATTAACACCAATCTCTGTAGCACTTGGTAAAACCCACTGCTATCATCACCGCAAATCATTCCCTTACTGCCTAAAAGTTTCTTCCCTTTTATAAATGGCTTCTTTGTTCCACAACCATCTCAAACTGGACCTAGATACTAGGGCATTCCTGAACTATTTAGATCCCTGTACGTCACTTAGTGATATCCTTGGACGTAACTGTTAATTTGTATTTCAGTGTGCCAAGTATGTTTTAGTGTGTCAGCTATCTTTATTATCAGTATTACAACTTACTAACTCAAAATATGCAACTTCCTGCCTCAAAGTACACAGGATCTACTACTCATTTAGTAATTCATAAATAAACACTTACTCAATGGTTGAAAATGATATACCAATATCACATCCTCTATTCTGATCACAGGGCACGGTAAAACCTGATCAACTGAGATCAACATGTCAAAAAAAAAAAAAAGAGTAACTTCCATTTCAAATGCCTTCATATTTAATGAGCATGGAGTGTGATTCACTATAATTTCCTTCATTATACAGGTGGCCTTACAAGGCCTTTCATCCCATCCCCACTTCCCTTCAGATAATGGGACATAGCAACATGAGAGGCAAAAGGCCATGTGTGCAACAGTACAACCACTTAAACCCCCTGGGTCATGAAAACATTATTAAACCAGCACCACTCAAGGCATAAAGTAAAAGTTAGAAAGCAGAAAACCTTTTTATCCTGAGACTTAAATACAGCATGATTTGAATCAACTGCATAATAGGCGTCACCTCACCACAGTAACTTAAGATCTCATCAAAATCAACAGGCAACAAAATATATACAACAGTACCTCACAGTTTAATTGCTCTATGCATTTATTATTAGCTATTATTAATGCAGAACAAGGGGACAAAAAGCTCACAAACACTCTACACAATTTCAGAAGACGCATTGCAGGGGAGAGAGAGACTGAGATGGATCAACAGTATGCTAGGGTCTTGGTGGACGCATTCCTGGGGGAGGTGGACCTGAAAGGAAATAGAAACATTGAGAAAAAGAGGATACAGATGTTCAGGGGCCTGGCTGAACCATCCAGCCCCTACACTCCCACTCACCTCTAATGCCTGGTGGAGGGGGTCTCATTCCCGGAGGGGGCATACCTATTGGCGTCCCTCGAGCAGGGGGAAGCCCAATTGGTGGGCCCATGGGTGGTCTCATACCAGGTGGTGGAGCCATAATGCCTACGGTGAAAAAAGGCAGAAATAAAGGCCTTATAAACTAGCTTAGGAAAGTTGTTAGAATTTAGTCCAAATAATCCCTAAAGAAATGGGCCAGACAACAATGATAGAGTCAAATAATTTCTATCTGACAATTACTATTCTATGTCTTTCATCAAAAACCAGTATCTAGAAGACGGAAGCATATTCCCCAAATTCTTAGGTTCTCAGGATGTGCCTTAAATCAGTAAGCTATCTCACATCAGAGATCAAAACTCATCTTCATTTTCACCAGCTCCTTACCTGGAGGTGGGGTTGCTCTCCCGACAGGTGGGGGCGGAGTCCCCCGTCCTGGTGGATACTGTGTTGGGGCTCCTGCAATGCTGGCAGTCGCAGCAACAGCAGCAGCTGCTACAGTGCCTCTTCCCTGTGGAGTCATTACCTGAGAAGACAGGGTGAGAAACAAAGTAAGGCAAAACGTCACATTATTCACACACACAAAATAAATTAGAAAAATGACCTATTAGATACAATTAACTGTTGCAATGATGTACTTCTCTCATCATTCCCATGTTTTTTTTGAGACAGAGTTTCAGTATTGCCACCCTGGCTGGAGTGCAATGGCACGATCTCGGCTCACTGCAACCTCCCATTCCTGGGTTCAAGTGATTCTCCTGTGTCGGTCTGCTGGGTAGTTAGGATTACAGGCATTACGCCACCAAGCCCAGCTGATTTTTGTATTTTTAGTAGACATGAGGGTTGTTTTCACCACATTGGCCAGGCTGGTCTCGAACTCCTGAGCTCAAGAGATCTGTCAGCCTCAGCCTCCCAAAGTGCTGGGATTACAGGTGTGACGTACCACACACAGCCAAGAAACTCAAATTTTAAAAATACCATAAAAAATAACCAGGCCTATTTCCGTATTTTAAAAACTAATCTTGATCCACTCACATCCAAAAAGCCCTTTCATCTTTTCAACTCTGGGATATCCATGCATTGTTTACTCACCACTAGTGGCAAGTTACTCTTACCAAGAATAACTTGGGTAACTTTAATCACCCCATGACCATTTTAAGTGGCTAGTTTTATTCCCTTCCTCCTGTGTATGTGTCTACCAGTTCCTCCTGGACTATACGCTGTTTACATAGTATGACATGTACACTTAGGTTTTTAAATCTTCTCAGCCTCCCCGGCTTCGTCACATTCTCCCAATAATATAAAACCCTCTGCTGGTTCCTCACCTGCTGGGACGGGCCTCCAACTCCTCGGACAGGGCCTGCTAATCCGGCAGGGGCCTGGGGAATTGGCACACCAGCTGGTACTCCTCGACCAGCTGCCCTACCAACCCCAGGGCCTCCTGCAGCTCCAGCAAGTGGTACCCGAGCAATGCCAGTCTGAAACAGGAAAACGTATAACCTAAAACCAAATGATTGACCAAAGTTCTCAGTATTCTATTCATCAGAGATCAGTTCTCTCCACCATTTTCTCAGGACACCCATCTCATACTAGTTGTGATCCAAATGAACAAGTAAGTGTACTATGGAGGTATCCTGTGCTTAAAATGCACATTTTGTCAAATGATGAAAACATCTCTTTTATAAAAATACCAAGCAAAAACCAATGAGCAACTCCTACCCTTACCTGGGTAAAGCCCAGCACGTAGAATAATTCACAAAAAAACTCTTAATCCCAAATAGAACAGGCAATAAACAGTTGTTATTAAGAGACTGGCATATTTTACTTGCCAATGTACGTTGAACTGTGCCTGTGCTGTACCCTGATTTCAGATGTCTCACACAATAGGACGTTCTTGCAGATTAAAGTTCTGCCTTGCCCTACATCTTTCTTACATCTTTGGGGGGCGGCCCTTCCACAGTCATGGATACCAGGTTCTCCCCACGTAGCAGCACCAGACCCAAAACCCGCTTTTCTTCACGCTCTGGTTGCTTCGCATTCTTTGGCCTATAAATCAGAATTAAATTTTAATGAGATAAATTTTAGTGATGCCTAGATCACTCAGTCATTAAAATATTTATACAACATCAATTATCAATTAAGACAACTGACACTATTTAAACATTTACTGAGTTGTGACTGAAAAACAAACAAAATCTCTAAACACTGTTAATAATACAAGGGTAAATAATAAAGCTCTTTTCTATCTAACTTCGGTCTTTTACAGAATATTCCCTTGATGTTACACTACAACAAAACTAATTTCTTTTGTAAAATACCTTTTAAGAAAGACAAAACTGGGCTGAGAGCAGTGGCTCACGCCTATAATCCCAGCACTTTGGAAGGCTGAGTTGCGCAGATCACCTGAGGTCAGGAGTTTGAGACTAACCTGGCCAACGTGGTGAAATCCCATCTCTACTAAATATAAAAAATTAGCCAGGTGTGGTGGCATGTGCCTGTAGTCCCAGCTACTCAGGCGGCTGAGGCAAGAGAATCGCTTGAACCCAGGAAGCCGAGGTTGCAGTGAGCCGAGACTGAGACACTGTACTCCAGCCTGGGTCAAAGAGTGAGACTATGTCTCAAAAAAAAAAAAAGACAAAATTGAAACTTCAGTTTTTATATTAAAATGGTAATCTTTTAAAAATTACTTAAATAATTAATCATAATGACAGGTGACATGGAACTGAAATAATAGTAAAAATAATGGGAACAGTAATAAGCAAATGGTAACCATATCCCAACTCTTCAATGATGAAGAAAACTTGGTATTGTCTATTCCAACCGACTTCTTCGGTATAAGACTGCTGCAGAAGCCAACCAATTAACAGCAGCATGTTTCTCAATTTTAAAAATAAAGTAACTTAATATTTTGATCATAGCATATGCTTTTATTCCCAGTAATAAATCTATGATTGTTTCACAAACTTAAAAGAGTTTAGCCGGGTGCGGTGGCTCAAGCCTGTAATCCCAGCACTTTGGGAGGCTGAGGCGGGTGGATCACCAGGTCAGGAGATCGAGACCATCCTGGTCAACACGGTGAAACCCCATCTCTACTAAAAATACAAAAAATTAGCTGGGCATGGTGGTGCGTGCCTGTAATCCCAGCTACTCAGGAGGCTGAGGCAGGAGAATTGCCTGAACCCAGGAGGCGGAGGTTGCAGTGAGCCGAGATCTCACCATTGCACTCCAGCCTGGGTAACAAGAGCGAACCTCCGTCTCAAAAAAAAAAAAAAAAAGAGTTTAGATGCAGACTCTGATCTAATTCAGAGATCAAGTCTAGAGTTTAAACAATAGACTGGCTCTACCATAGTTTCCCTACCTACTTCAGTTACCCTTGGAAATCCCTTAATCCATCTATGGCCTTCCCTTGCCATTGCCTCTGTCTCCAACCCCATTCACCCACATCAACCTTACTTGATCTTTCTGAACTCATCACAATCACAAAGGATCAAATTCATATGCTTGTCAAAAGCCTTAAAGGTGCCAATGAAGATTCGGCCATCTTGTAGGATGCATCTCATTCTATAGTCAATGTGCTGCAGCATCTTGCTACTCTTGCCCACAGTCTGGAAGCAGTAAGACAAGAGTCACATTTAGCATGCCTGCACCCTAGTCATCTTCTCCTGTTTCATCTCCACTCTTACATAATCCAAGCCTGGTTTCCTTAAATGAACAAATATTCTTTCCTCCTTTTCCACCAACATTCTTCCATATTTACTATGGCTCTCTGAAGGACTACAAAGGATTATGAAAAGTTTTTTACATCTCAAGAACCAATTTTCACCTCCGTAGGGGTGATTATCCTTCTCTTTGACAATGCATGCTCTAAACTGTCCACTCCCACTAACTAAACCAAACCACAATGATGTAGGGTCTTCTCTCTCTCCAGACTGCTTTTCTCTGTATCATTCACGCCCAAACCCTTCCGTTTTTAAAGTCCTCTTTATTGTAATCTGACCCGAGAGTCCATCATCTGCAGTAGTCCTTCACCACCAGAAGTATGACTAAAAACATTTTCTCACATCATAAAACGTTTCTCATGGCCAGGCACAGTGTCTCATGCCTGTAATCCCAGCACTTTGGGAGGCCGAGGCAGGCGAATCACTTGAGGTCAGGAGTTCAAGACCAGCCTGGCCAACATGGAGAAACTCTGTCTCTAATGAAGAGGCCAGGGCATGAGAATCTCTTGAACCCAGGAGGTAGAGGTTGCAGTGAGCCAAGATCACACCACTGCACTCCAGCCTGGGAGACAGAAAGAGACTCCAACTGAAAAAAAGGAAAAAAATCAGCTCATCTCCAGCTGATACTCAATGCAATGAGAATTCATATCCACGGATATATCCTTATTTGCAACATTCAGAACCCAAAATCACTGCACATGCTAGGAAACTATTCCTTTCGGCCCTTAAAGCAGGTTTTCCATCCTCTGCCTGAACGTACAGCTTACCATGATTGCTGTTCCACCAAATCCAATGTCCACAGTTAAAACTTGATGGTTCTGAAGACCTAGGGGAAGGCTCTAGATAAAGGTATGACGCAGGTTCTCCTAGAAACAATGCAAGCTGGGCAGAAGCTTCAAAGAGCAGATGGAGCCTGCAGAGGAAAGCATGTTAAAGCTGTACTGCAATCTACCATGTTTTAAAACAGGCAGACAATTTTACATGAAAATCACTATGAAAGACTTGTTCAAAAAGTCACTCCTCTCATTGCTTCCTGACCAAGGGACTACCAAATTTCACCAGTTACTCATTCTTAACTCCCACATTTGACACATTTAGGACTGATGAAACTCATTGAATTTTATTTTACCTAGCAATTCCTAAGTATTTCAAAACCTAAGCTTCATTTTCCAAAATTTAGTATTTTTCTTCCCATTCTTCATTAAGGTATGGTCTCTCTCTCTCTAGTTCAGAAATAGTATCAACTGTATATAAACATCTCAATTATTCCTTTTTTCTGAAATACCTATGATATCATCTGCAATATTCTTTCTTCCCCCTAAAACTGCTTCAAGATGATGGTAGGCAATCTTTCCCCACTAAGAACTAAATGTGTTATAAACCTACCGAAAACTTCCCGTATCAAAATGGAAGACAGAACTATGGAATATGTACATACAAGACTCTCAGAAACAACTTTCATACATCACGTAATGAAGGACAAGTTAAAAAATCACGTTAGTGGCCGGGTGCAGTGGCTCACACCTGTAATGTCAGTACTTTGGGAGGCCAAGTCAGGTTGATCACCTGAGGTTGAGTTTCAAACCAGCCTGAACAACATGGTGAAACCCTATCTCTAGTAAAAATACAAAAAAAGTAGCCAGCATGGTATTGGGCACCTGTAATCTAGCCACTCGAGAAGCTATGGCAGGTGAATCGCTTGAAGCTGGGAGGCAAAGGTTGCAATGGGCCAAGATCATGCCACTGCACTCTAGCCTGGGCAATAGGAGCAAAACTCCATCTTGAAATAAATAAACAAATAGTGTAACGATGGGTATGCATTAGGAGAAATACATTTGGTGATATTATCATGGTATGAACGACGTACTTACACCAACCCAGAGGATATACATAGTCTACCATACTCGGAGGCTATATGGTATGTGGGTATGTGTATCTATATTCTTCTTTCCACTAGGATCCACACACATATATACATATGGATATATATCCATATGTATATAGATATCTATATAGATATATATATATATTGGATATGTATCCTGGTAAATTTTTAGGTACCAAACAAAAAGCTAATACTCATAACCTGTTTTTTTTTTTGTTTTGTTTGTTTTTTTTTTTTAATTTAAGAGACTTGCTCTGTCGCCTAGGCTGGGGCGCAGTGGCACAATATTGGCTCACTGCAACCTCTGCCTCCCAGGTTCAAGCAATTCTGCTGCCTCAGCCTCCTAGGTAGCTGGGATTACAGGTGTCTGTCACCCCGACTGGCTAGTATTTGTATTTTTAGTACAGACGGGGTATCGCCGCCTTGTTGGCCAGGTTGGTCTTGAACTCCTGAACTCAGGTGATCCATCAGCCCCAGACTCCCAAAGTGATAGGATTACAGGCATGAGCCACTGCGCCCATCCACATAGTTTCTTATTTTTCCTGGCTCTCATGTGCCTTACAATTTTAATGAAAAAGCATACCAACTGTTTCAATGTTATTTATTTTTATTTTTTATTTTTTTTGAGACGGAGTTTCGCTCTTGTTACCCAGGCTGGAGTGCAATGGCGCGATCTCGGCTCACCACAACCTCCACCTCCTGGGTTCAAGCAATTCTCCTGCCTCAATCTCCTGAGTAGCTGGGATTGCAGGCACGCGCCACCACGCCCAGCTAATTTTTTGTGTTTTTAGTAGATACGGGGTTTCACCATGTTGACCAGAATGGTCTCGATCTCTTGACCTCATGATCCACCCACCTCGGCCTCCCAAAGTGCTGGGATTACAGGCTTGAGCCACCGCACCCGGCCTAAATGTTATTAAAGACTACACATCCTCCTCCACAGCAGGCTGTAACATGATTCTTGGACTGAGCCCTTCCCAGCAAAATTCATCTGATTGTCTACCCTGTAATGTATACTTCATATATACTTCTATAATCCATTCTTCATCACTTTCTACGACAATTTGACTATACTCACTGGCTCCCACTTTGGCATTTTCTTCTTTGAATGTGCTCCTCTACAAAAAAAAGTCAGCCATTTTTTTCTTTTAAATGGCAAGACAGTAAATATTTTAGGCTTTGTCCATCATTCAATCTGTTACTACTACTCAAATTTGCACTAATGTAGTACCAATGTGTCCACAGACAACACATATAAATGTACATAGTTGTGTTCCAGTAAAACGTCATTTATATATAAACAAGTAGAGGTCCAGATATATCACCAAACCCTGCCCTAAAGGAATCCTAGTAACAGTTACCATTTACATAGAACTAGCAGTTGAGACTAGAATAAGATAAAATTAAATATCATAAGATGGTCCTACTTGCAGACTATAATGTATGACTTAAATGTTATATTTCAAAATTTACAAAGATCTGTGTACTGAGAAGCTAACAAATTCCTATGTAAAAAGAAAAAAAATCAATTGTACACACCTATTCAATGAAAAATTCCCTTACTCTAGGGAACAGCTTGGGACAATTACAAGATTCCAATCTGCTTATGCAACTAGAAAATGTTGAGTACAAAGGATTCAAGAAAGGAGGATTTCTCAGAAAACTTCTGTCTCTTTTGATTTAGACTCAAAATGAGCTAGGTGGGCACTGTGGGTCACACCTGTAATCCCAGCACTACGGGAGGCCAAGGGAGGTGGATCACGTGAGGTCAGGAAATCTGAGAGCATCCTGGCCAACATGTTGAAACTCCGTCTCCACTAAAATTACAAAATATTGCTGGGTGTAGTGGCAGGCAACTGCAATCCCAGCTACTTGGATGGCTAAGGCAGGAAAATCACTTCAACCTTGGAAGTGGAGGTTACAGTGAGCGCAGATCACACCACTGCACTCCAGCCTGGGCTACAGAGTAAGACTTTGTAGCCAAATAAATAAATAAATAAATACTCAAAATGGTGGCCATAAATAAGTCTAATTAATTCAAGTAGAGGGGTAGTATTTCAAAAACAGACTCAGAAATGAGGGCATTCTAAACTTGAAGTAGAGAAAAAGAAAAATCACAAAGAGAAAACAAGGGAATAAATCAAAAGCAACTTTGTAATAGCTTCCTCCTAAAAAATGAAAGCAACAACATAAAAATAAAACTAAATAAATCTACATCACATTGAAAAATTATGAATAATATTTTTATTACACTGTCTGCTGATTCAAATAGGAAATACACTGGTTAAAACAAAGTTGAAAAAGGCAAAACAAAAAGTAATTAGTAAATAACCACAAGAAAGTATTTAGATTCTGTAACACTTATGGTTAATCATGTGCTGTGTATTTATAACTCAGTAAGTATAAACTATATTCAAATTAAAATACCTAAAGCTGTGAAAGAATGTTTTAACTAGGCTGCTATTTTTTTGAAGGCTATGAATACTAATACAATACTTTGCAATAAAATTTAGAAAAGTGTACCTTAAGTTCGTATTCCTTGATTAAATTTATTTTCACATCTGCATATCTGAAAAAATTATTCTACCTTAAGTTTTATACAAAGCTGGTAAAATTTAGTTCAAACTACTGGCAGAAAAATATGACACCTCCCCCAAAAGGAAATTATAAAACATTCACTGTAACAGGGTATTCAACAGCCATTTATAGTGAAATTATTTTATACCATTAAAAAAAAAAAAAAACCACCACCACAAAAGAAAACTACCTGAAAAGCATGCACTACAGTAACTGGAATACAGAAACATGAAAAAACTTTCAGTGTAGAAAATTTAAGGTCCTGCTTTTGCTTTTTTAAACTTTATTACAATGTGATTATTCCATGAAGCTCTAAGAAAAAAGCTATGCATCACTGATAATTAAGTGAATCCCAGACACCCCATTCTTTAATGATTCTTTATTCCTGATCATTGCTGCATTAGCTCTAACCTGGTTTTTGCTTGGAATCAGATTCCTCGCTATTCCAATATGGCTTTAACCACCTCTTGGTGTCTCAGCTAAGAATGCCTGCCTCAGTTCAGCCTGGAAATCCACCACAGGTACTTGCTGCTGCTGAGAACGTCTTGGGTACAACTGACACCTAGAACAAGAGCACAATATATATAAATGATAAAAAGGTAACATTTATAGGTAACCATAGGAAAGAAAACTAGGGATCCTTACAAGTTTAAGATCTTCTTTTTTTTTTTAGACAGGGTCTCATTCTGTTGCCCAGGCTAGAGTGTAATGATGACATCTTGCCCCATTGCAACCTCTGCCTTCCAGGTTCAAGTGATTCTCCTGCCTCAGCCCTTGGAGTAGCTGGGATTACAGGCGCATGCCACCACACCTGGCTAGTTTTGTTTTTTTTTTTTTTTTTTTTTTTTTTTAAAGGGTAGTTTTGTATTTTTAATAGACACAGGGTTTCACCACATTGGCTAGGCTAGTCTCAAACTCCTGACCTCAGGTGATCCACCTGCTTTGGCCTAAGTGCTGGGATTACAGGCGTGAGCCACCACGGCAGGTAAGAGGATTTTCCTTTAGGGTGACAGCATGACATTATCTTATGAGAAATTATAAAACAAAACATGAATCTCTACACACAGATTGTGCAAGGGACTAGTGGATATGTAGATACTTAACCGGTCTAGAGATATTTCCAAAAAACTAAAAATACAAGCGCTGGTAGCCCTGAAGAAACACCATCAGTGCCATATACAGTCACTCACTTTCAAATTATCCTAGGTGAAACAATCCTTTTTCCCCAGGAGTCTGGGGAGGGATATGCTGCTAGAGCGTTTGAAGGGAGAGGTTCAGGCTGTCCTTCAGGCTGATCCTCCCAACAAGTCACTACCTGAAATACAGAACTTCCAGGGCTTTTTAAGGGCTCATAAAATATGTAAACTGGCCAGGCACGGTAGCTCATGCCTGTAATCTCAGCACTTTGAGAGGCCAAGGTGGGTGGATCACCTGAAGTCAAGAGTTCAAGACCAACCTGACCGGCCAGGCTCGGTGGCTCACGCCTATAATCCCAGCACTTTGGGAGGCCAAGGTAGGTGGATCACGAGGTCAAGAGATTGAGACCATCCTGGTCAACAAGGTGAAACCCCGTCTCTACTAAAAATACAAAAATTAGCTGCGCATGGTGGCGGACACCTGTAGTACCAGCTACTCAGGAGGCTGAGGCAGGAGAATTGCTTGAACTCAGGAGGCGGAGGTTGCGGTGAGTTGAGATCGCACCATTGCACTCCAGCCTGGGTAACAAGAGCAAAACTTTGTCTTTTTTAAAAAAAAAAAAACCAACCTGACCAACATGGAAAAACCCTGTCTCTACTAAAAATACAAAAATTGGCTGGGCGTGGTGGCCCATGCCTGTAATCCCAGCTACTCGGGAGAAAGGATAATTGCTTGAACCCAGGAGGCGGAGGTTGTAGCGAGCCAAGATCGCACCACTGCATTCCAGCCTGGGCAAGAGTGAGACTCTGTCTCAAAAAACAAAGTATGTAAACCAATCTTCTACTGGTAAGCAGGGAATTCCAGAGAAAAGCCCTCAACATACCCCTATGAATCAGTAATCTGGCTGTAAAATCTGATGAGAAGGAAGAGATACAGAAAATCACACTTAGCTTGCCTTGAGGTGAGGATGTTGGGAATCGCTAACAATTCTGCCATTGTTGGTATACAAGGATTTGGAAATTGGACTTCTTTCTATACTTTTTCAATAACATTTAAAACATGCTTCTGCATAATAAAGAATTTAGCTGGCCTTAGTTTCTGGGAAGTAACCAGTAAATTCATGTAACCTATAAATTTACCAAGTGAAAGAAATGTGTTTCCTATTCAAGGTGAGTCCCTAGGATCACACCTGAGTTCAGGCTAATGAAATCTCAGGATGGTGACTAACCAAGCCATAAAATATCAAAGATTAAAGGGTTGGGGCTTTGAGCAAGCCCTCCTGGGAAGGCAGGAGAGTTGCTGACTGAATTCAGTGACATGCCTAAATATTCAGTCTTGTCAACATAATGAGTTCCCAACAAAAATCCTGGACATCTGGAGCTCTGGTGAGCTTCCTGAGTGGTAACATAAACTAATGTGCAGGTAATGCATCCTGAGGGCAGAGAAGCTTTGTAGCGGACATGCCCAGGTTTTGCTCTACGCATCTGCTGATTTGTATCCTTTATAATAAATCTACTAAGTATAGCACTTTCTTTTTTTTTTTTTTGAGACGGAGTTTCGCTCGTTACCCAGGCTGGAGTGCAATGGCGCGATCTCGGCTCACCGCAACCTCCGCCTCCTGGGTTCAGGCAATTCTCTTGCCTCAGCCTCCTGAGTAGCTGGGATTACAGGCATGTGCCACCACGCCCAGCTAATTTTTTGTATTTTTAGTAGAGACGGGGTTTCACCATGTTGACCAGGATGGTCTCGATCTCTCGACCTCGTGATCCACCCGCCTCGGCCTCCCAAAGTGCTGGGATTACAGGCTTGAGCCACCGCGCCCGGCCTAAGTATAGCACTTTCTTGAGTTCTACTAGTCATTTATAAAACCTAAGATAGTAGGATCTCAGAATCTATAGATCAGGCGTCCCCAAACTTTTTACACAGGGGGCCAGTTCACTGTCCCTCAGACCGTTGGAAGGCCACCACATACTGTGCTCCTCTCACTGACCACCAATGAAAGAGGTGCCCCTTCCTGAAGTGCGACGGGGGGCTGGATAAATGGCCTCAGGGGGCCGCATGCCCGTAGTTTGGGGACGCCTGCTATAGATAACCAAAAGTATGGGTGCCCTGCCAATCAGGGAGCCTGGAGTTGAAGTCTGCATGGAGGGGGATGCTCTGGAGGGCATCTGTACACCTGTGAAATTGGCACTAACTCCAGGTTGTAAGAATTGCACTGCACATACCTTTAAATCTTCATACTATTATTCATACTGTAGTCACTAAATAAATCTTAATTTGGGATTCTCCATTCTAACCTCTTTGTTTACAAATGGTAACTAAGTCTCTGATTTAATAAAGGTCTAAGAAGTGTTTCAGTAAAAAAAAAACCTGCGTCTGGACAGGAAATTCTCTTAAGAATTTCCTATTGCAATGTCCCCCTCAGGTTTAACCTGTATCCGGCCCCCTGCCACACTTCAGGAAGGGGCACCTCTTTCATTGGTGCTCAGTGAGAGGAGCACAGTATGTGGCGGCCCTCCAACGGTCTGAGGGACAGTGAACTGGCGCCCTGTGTAAAAAGTTTGGGGACGCCTGCTGTAGCCCAACAGAAGACAAAAGACTGAGAAAATAAGAGGCAGCCTATACAGTATTTAATTCATAAAGTGCAGAATATTAATTTGAAAAGACATTTGAAGCTTTGTGTAAAATAGATTAAGACAGCCGGGCGCGGTGGCTCAAGCCTGTAATCCCAGCACTTTGGGAGGCCGAGGCGGGTGGATCACGAGGTCAAGAGATCGAGACCATCCTGGTCAACATGGTGAAACCCCGTCTCTACTAAAAATACAAAAAATTAGCTGGGCATGGTGACGCATGCCTGTAATCCCAGCTACTCAGGAGGCTGAGGCAGGAGAATGGCCTGAACCCAGGAGGCGGAGGTTGTGGTGAGCCGAGATCGTGCCATTGCACTCCAGCCCGGGTAACAAGAGCGAAACTCCGTCTCAAAAAAAAAAAAAAAAAAAAAAATAGATTAAGACAACTCCCCAGCTCCGATTCCCAATTTCTCTTTGAACTCACAATGCATCATCCAGCCCTAAAGAGTAAGAGCTGATTTAGTGCCATATACACTGAAAGAGCGAATAAAATAAATTTAAAATTTTAAAATAAATCAGTGATTTTTTGTTTTTGAGAGGGAGTCTTGCTCTGCCGCCCAGGCTGAAGTGCAATGACATGATCTCGGCTAACTACAACCTCCACCTCCTGAGTTCAAGCAATTTTTCTGCCTCAGCCTCCTGTGTAGCTGGAATTACAGGCACACACCACCACATCTGATAATTTATGCATTTTTTGTTTGTTTTGAGACAGAGTCTTGCTGTGTCGCCAGGCTGGAGTTCAGTGGTGTGATCTCGGCTCACTGTGTTCTCCGTCTCCAGGATCAAGCAATTGCCCTGCCTCAGCCTCCCAAGTAGCTGCTACAGGGATGCACCACCACACCCAGATGATTTTTTAAATTTTAGTAGAGATGGGGTTTCACTATGTTGGTTAGGATGGTCTCGATCTCCTAACCTCGTGATCCACCTGCCTCAGCCTCTCAAAGTGCTGGGATAACAGGCGTGAGCCACCATGCCCAGCCCTGACTGTCATAATTTTAATGACAATGACAAAATGCCAAAGTTTCAACATGGATTAAATATGTATTAGGTCATTTAAAATGTTTACATATTTTTAATTAAAATGTCCCTTCTAGAAATGTCAATTAAAATGTGTGACTAAGTGTGTCTGTAAATACATCCTATCTATACATTCCACATATATATATGCACACACTAAAAACAGGATGAAAGCTGGACTCCATGGCTCAAGCCTGTAATCCCAGCACTTTGGGAGGCCAAGGCAGGTGGATCACGAGGTCAAGAGATCGAGACCATCCTGGTCAACATGGTGAAACCTCGTCTCTACTAAAAATACAAAAAATTAGCTGGGCATGGTGGCGCGTGCCTGTAGTCCCAGCTATTCAGGAGGCTGAGGCAGGAGAATTGCCTGAACCCAGGAGGCAGAGGTTGCGGTGAGCCAAGATCGCGCCATTGCACTCCAGCCTGGGTAACAAGAATGAAACTCCGTCTCAAAAAAAAAAAAAAACAGGATGAAAGACAGCAACGTATTTTAAATTTTAACAGAATACACTAATCAAAAACAAACACCTAAATACCAGAGCAAGAATATGTAGTAACTTCAGTGCACACTACATTTTGCAAATATACAAAGTGATTTAATAATATAAGAATGCAGAAAAAATGTAAATATGCTTTATGTTGAAGGGTAATTACAAAATTTTATAAAGAAAAAATGACTTAGACATGTATAAGAAAAAAAATAAATTATATTAAAATCTATAAGAGGGTGAGTTATTTTGATAATACGGTTAAAAATTTCACTGCTTTTCTCCCACATCTTCTGTAGTACACGTGTCTGCTTCCTCAGTTAAGTTCATTTGAATCACCTCATTGCATGGTATTTTGTTCCAATCTGAAACAGGATTCTCACTTGCATTTGTTTTAAATACAGTCTGTACTCACTCTTGGTTGCTCAGTGAGGCAGTCCTTCTGCGTTTGACTTGGACCTCCACCTCTGGTACGTGCTGTTCTGTAGTCCGTCTCAGGTGTAAGCGATCCCTGAAACAGAAAAAAAGAGGAATTCATTTGGTAGACTGCATCAATCTATGAAACAACTATTGTCAAGGTTGTATTTTGACTACATTTAATATAATGTGTTATTAAATCTAATTTAAAAACGTCAAATTATTACAAGATGTTTAGCCTTCAGTCAGAATCTATGCTCTACCCACTTCTATTCTCCTTTTAGAAGCCCATGATCAGAAAACCTGGTTTTAAAAAATCAGAAAATGGAATTAAAATAGTGTGTCAACTAATATTTTTAGTCACATACATATAAAATTCCCACTTATGCAGATAAATATACACACATACCACCACTACCTTCCTCACCTTCCCCCTAAAAACAGTAAAGCTGATTTCAAAAATGGTTTCAAAAAATATTTTAAGGATACAATAGACGTACTTTTGTATAGTGGGCTCATAGAACATAGTTTAATTATAAAATATCTACTTAAAAAAACATGCAGATGGTGCTTTAGGATTTGCAAAGCAATAGAAGAACTGTTCCGGCTAAAAACTATCAACATAACAAAAACAAAAAAACACTCCATTTTATGACAAGCAGAATCCCTCACAAAATGGCTGCTCAAGGGAATAGAACATGAAGTTTCACACTTGGACCAGCCACATTAAGGACTGCAGAAGCCACCTATGAAAGCTTAAAGATGATAAATTGAGAAGGTCAGCAGGACCTTTCACTAATACAAATAATATCTCAAAATCAAAATTCAAAGGATACCTGCCAAAAGCTATCAGTAATTTTCTGAACCCTAGATGTTTTTAAGCCACGTTAGACTTTCAGATTGGTAAATCAGCTTACCAATAACACAGAGCTGTTTTATTCCTTCAAGAATATAAATGTAGGCCGGGCGCGGTGGCTCAAGCCTGTAATCCCAGCACTTTTTTGAGAGGCCGAGGCGGGTGGATCACGAGGTTAAGTGATCGAGACCATCCTGGTCAACATGGTGAAACCCATCTCTATTAAAAAATACAAAAAATTAGCTGGGCATGGTGGCACGTGCCTGTAATCCCAGCTACTCAGGAGGCTGAGGCAGGAGAATTGCTTGAACCCAGGAGGCGGAGGTTGCGGTGAGCCGAGATCGCGCCATTGCACTCCAGCCTGGGTAACAAGAGCGAAACTCCGTCTCAAAAAAAAAAAAAAAAAAAAAAGAATATAAATGTTCCAAGTCATGCCACATATTTTATTTTTAAATGGCAAACTTTTAAACACTGATGTTTATTATTTTTGATTACAGAATGGTCTATTAAATGTAACACCTGAATTACAAGCAGTATGAGAAATAAAGTGTACTTCAACAACAAATCAACTTTGTTCCAAAAACACTAAAGTGAAAGGATAAGCAGAATACGAAAAAATATTTCCTAAACATACAGCTAAGCGTCTAGTATCCAAAATCAAAAATAAAATCTAAACAATGAAAAAAAAAGAAGGTAGACAGAGGCAAAGAAACTTTTTTTTTTTCAGGTGATGGATACATTTACACCACTAATTGTGATAAGATAATAATTTCAAAGGCATATATGTATCTCTTTAGCATAGCAACTTTTAACATTATCTACAGTTTTTGTATGTCAATCACACATCACAAAAGTATTTTTTCAAGTTTGATAACCAGAACATGTAAGGAACTGTTACAACTCAACAACAAAAGGGCAAATTCTATTGCTACAATGGGTAAAACACTTGAATAGACAGTCCTCCAAACATAAACAAATGGCTAATCTATATGAAATGATGCTGAACATTAGTCAATAAAAATGCAAATCAAAACCCTACATAGGTGGGGCACATTGGCTCATGGGAGGCTGAGGCTGGCTGATCACTTGAGCTCAGGAGATCAAGACCAGTTTGCGCAATGTCTGTACAAAAAATACAAAAATTAGCTGGGTGTGGTGGTCCATGCCTGTGGTGCCAGCTACTCAGGAGGCTGAGGTGAGAGGGGCCCTTGAGCCTGGGAGGCAGAGGCTGTGGGGGCCTGAGATCATGCCATTGCACACCAGCCTTGGTGACACAGTCAGACCCTGCCTCAGAAAGAAAAACCGGGGCCGGGCGCGGTGACTCAAGCCTGTAATCCCAGCACTTTGGGAGGCCGAGGCAGGTGGATCACGAGGTCAAGAGATCAAGACCATCCCGGTCAACATAGTGAAACCCCGTCTCTACTAAAAATACAAAAAATTAGCTGGGCATGGTGGCGCGTGCCTGTAATCCCAGCTACTCAGGAGGCTGAGGCAGGAGAATTGCCTGAACCCAGGAGGCGGAGGTTGCAGTGAGCCGAGATCGTGCCATTGCACTCCAGCCTGGGTAACAAGAGCGAAACTCTGTCTCAAAAAAAAAAAAAAAAAAAAGAAAAACCGCACTGAAATGCCACCATCTGACATCACAGTGTTTAGGAAGGAAGTGGGGAATTGCTGGTGGGAGCATATAATGGTATATACAGCTTTTGGAAACTTCCTAAAAATGTTAATCATGAAATTAACATATGACACTAACTCCACTGGTAAATGAAGACCCAAACTCATACATGTTCCTAGTAGCAATATTCGTAACAGACAAAAAGTGTAAACAACTCAAATGTCCATCAACTTAGGAATTAATAAAGAAAATATGGTATAGCCAAAGGAATATCATTCAGCCATGAAAAGGAATTTAGTATTGATCAGTGTTATATTACAGTGGGCATGCAAATATAATTAATAATGTATAATATAATACAATTAAAGAAACTATCCAGCCTGACCAACAGGATGAAACTCAGCCTCTACTAAAAATACAAAAAATTAGCCGGGTATGGTGGTGTGCCCCCGTAATCCCACCTACTCAGGAGGCTGAGGCAGGAAAATCCTTTGAACCCAGGGCGTGGAAGTTGCAGTGAGCAGAGATAGCACCACTGCACTCCATTCTGGGTGACAGAGCAAGACTCCATCTCAAAAATAAATAAATAAAAGGAACTATCAACTAAATCATGATTAATCTAATAGTATATAGTATGTAATCGCAAACACTGTCTTACCAAAAAAAAAAAAAAAAAAAACCAAAAAAAAACAATTCAGTAGTTGCTCAATATAGTAAGTCTGAGGTCAACTGAGGAAACAGCCATCAAACCAAAAAGTTCTATTACTTCAACTTTCTGAACTTATTTTTTTGTCTTTTATTTGTCTTGTTTTTTTTTTCTGAACTTATTTTTTAATTATTTTTTATTTATTTTGTTTTTGAGATGGGAGTTTTGCTCTTGTTTCCAGGGCTGGAGTGCAAAGGCTCAATGCAACCCCTGCCTACAGGGTTCAAGCGGTTCTCCTGTCTCAGCCTGAGTAGCTGGGATTACAGGTGTCTACCACCATGCCCGGCTAGTTTTTTAATTTTTAGTAGACAGGGTTTTGCCATGTTGGCCAGGCTGGTCTCAAACTCCTGACAGCAGGCAATCTGACAGCAGGCAATCTGCCTGCCTCAGCCTCCAAAAGTGCTGGGATTACAGGTGTGAGGCACTCTGCCCAGCCCCTGAATTTATCTTTTATAAATGTAGAGACAAGGTCTCACTATCCAAGCTTGAACTCCCAAGCTCCAATCATTTTCCTGCCTTCGCATCCCAGAGTGCTGGGATTACAGAAGTGAGCCACCATGCCTGGCTTAATCTACTTACTTTTTAATCTACATATAAATGTCATCTATGAGATTTATTTTGAAAACACTGGTTTGGATACATTCACATACACATATGCATTTATCTAACTGCATCCCCAACACAGAAACTAACATTTTATGAAACTGAGGATATGATGAAAAAACCCACTACATATAAAGTGTTAAATGCTTGGCTGGGCGCGGTGGCTCAAGCCTGTAATCCCAGCACTTTGGGAGGCCGAGGCGGGTGGATCACAAGGTCAAGAGATCGAGACCATCCTGGTCAACATGGTGAAACCCCGTCTCTACTAAAAATACAAAAAATTAGCTGGGCATGGTGGCGCGTGCCTGTAATCCCAGCTACTGAGGAGGCTGAGGCAGGAGAATTGCCTGAACCCAGGAGGCGGAGGTTGCGGTGAGCCGAGATCGTGCCATTGCACTCCAGCCTGGGTAACAGGAGTGAAACTCCGTCTCAAAAAAAAAAAAAAAAAAAAAAAAGTGTTAAATGCTTGCCCTCAAATCACTTACACTGAGAGTAATAACCTGGAAATATATAACCTGGAAAGCAAAAAGCAATGGGATCCCAATTCTATCACTAACTGCCTATTTTCTATAAAATTTAAGATCTCAAGAATAAACATAAATACATAAATAAATAAACAAATAAATTTGGCCAGGCACAGCGGCTCATGTCTACAATGTCAGTACTTTGGGAGGCCTAAGCATGAGCACTGCTTGAGTGCAGGAGTTCCAGACCAGTCTGGGCAACATAGGGAGACCTCTCTCTACAAAAAAACAACCACAAAAAAAAATTAGCTGGACACAGCACTTCAAGCCTACAGTAACAGCTACTTGGGAGGATGATGCAGGAGTCTAGATTGATTTAGGAGTTTGAGGTTACAGGGAGCCATACCTGCACCACTGCACTCTAACCTGGGCAACACAGCCAGACCCCTGTCTCCTAAACAAAAAAGTTAATGTGACAGCCTTCTAATCTGTACCCTAGAAACCTAAGAAACCCCAGTGCCTCCAAAACAAAACCTGGGAAGAATTACCAAAAAGAGAATTTGGGCCAGCCTCAGTGACCTTTTCCTGTAGTCCAGAAAGACTGAGGTGGAGGAGGATACGGTTTATGTCCAGTAGTTCGAGTCCAGCCTGGACAATATAGGGATACCCTGGTCTCTTTGAAGATGACAAAAAAAAAAAAAACACAGAACTTTGAGCCACCTGGCATCCAAAAATGGAGAGAGGATGTCTTAATCAGTATTCTCACTCAAGCTTTCTGGCTCTGGGCCACACACACACAAAAATGGAGGCGACAGTACCAGTGATAGGTCTTGATGCGTAAGCAGTAAGATTTTTAAAACCTCACTGTCCCAGTCATTGAAGGCAGTACTCACAACCTGCTTTCTTAAATGATTCTTTCTAAGAATAGCTATCTAACAGAGGGCAGTGACAAACAAAGGAGATTATCTTGGAATCCTTGACACCTTAAAAACTAAATTTTTTGGAAAACAAAAATGTTCATTAGGAAAAGGAACAGGATAGGGGAAACGTAACGATACAGAGTAACCGTACGTGGGAAAAACATTTCAGCAGTGACACACTGATCAGACAGAATTGTAAAATCAAGGTAAGGCAAGGTCTGTGAATAAATCCCAATCAGCTAGTACCCTGCCTTAGACAGCAAAATAAGGAATGGCCTCTCAACCAAGGTTCCTTCTTCTGCAGCACAGAAAGGGCTGACACTCCTCGCTTCCAAGAAGCCCCGATACAGAGCCAATTCACTCAGTAAGACACAGACCTTGAAACTTCGAGAGGCCCTTCCACAGACATCCGCCATGTTGGGATCATGGGCCTGAATGAAAGACTACAAAATGGCGGACCAGGTTAAATATTCAGCTTGCAAATAGCCAAATGAAGTTAAACCAAGAAATACATGTATTTGAAGTACTATTTTCGCACACGCAGGAAAAAAAGGGTAAATTATTAATATCATGTAAAATCCTTAGACCCCTGCTATTTTTAAAACTACCCAAAAATAGATTATTCCAGAACAAGCCTTTTCAGGCATCCTGTATTTAACTCTTCTGTTAATTACAACTCAGTGCAACAAGACATACCAGGTATGAGAGACAGAGGGAAAACGTAAATACGATAAAGGTAACCACATGAAAATCCTGTAAAGGAAGACAAAATCCTTAGAATAAAATTATTTAAAATAAGGACGAAAATAAAAAAGCAGTTATTCATTGACCTTTCTTACCAGATTTTCATAGCTCCAACTTCAAAAATGATCTTTAATTTAAAAATCCAAGAAAAGACAGTAACTCCGGTCCCAAGCACAACCCCACCCCAATAAGATTGTCTCTACTTTTCTGATTCTCTTTTGTCCTCTTTGAGCACCACTTGCAGCTTGCAGCTTCCAGAAGACGAAGAGGTCCAGTGTTTGAAATACCTTTTAACCTTGGTCGGGAAGAGCCATGATGCCCTCTCCCTCAACCCATTTAAAGAAAGTACGCGGCGCATCAGAATGGATTCTCCAGAAATTGAGGAGGACAAATGACTCTTAAATGGTGACATTTATCAAATGTATTAAGTAGAAATCAAAGACTACAGCAAATTTAAAAAGAAGTTAACAAATCCACTTTGAAAAGGGAGAATTAGCACATAATACAACCAAAAGAGGAGCTACAAAAATAAAAAGGCAGGATTTTCTAGGGAGTCAGAAAACCAATTTAAAATCTCTACCATTAGTGGAGCTTCCTGAAGCAGCACAGCTGGTCTTGGGGTGGCTGCATCTTTGATGACCTCCAGAACCCCACCACTCCAGTTCACAGCAGAACAGAAAAGCAGGAGCCCAGTGCAGCTGCCATCCCACACAGGCGGAGATGGTACAAATCCCCGGCCGCTAGCCACATTCCCCTCCAGTGCTCTACTGCGGCACCATGGGTAGGGGGCGGCTGCCAAGCTTGCTAGGTGGAGCCTGCGCCAACCCATCTCCCTCCTGCCCTCTCTACTGCGCCACAACGCAAAAGGCACAACTGCTTTGTCAGCCAGGTGAAGGGGAGGGCCGCTATCCCTTCCAAGCAAAGGCTGCAGAAGCAAAAACCCCCGCGCCTCTGTCCCCGCTCCCACAGCCCACCCTGTTGCAGGTGGAGGTGGCTGTTACCTCTGCTGTGTCTACGCAACCTGCATCCTTCCCCAATCAGCATTTTGGGGAAGGGGCAGCCACCTACCTTGGCCTGCCTCCTCTCCTCACTACTGAACCCTGGAGGGGTACCAGCACAGCAGAAAGTGAGCGCGCACACGCACAAGCCGCCCCTCTCCACTGGCAGCTCTCCAGGGAGGCGGCGGCCACACCCACCCTGCTGCGCATGCGCAGATCCGAGCCGCTGCAGCATCGCCATCTTGAGGGAGCTGCACAATGGCGGTGACGCAACGCAGACCCCAGGCTATTTCAACATAGCCTTCCACGGTCTGCTTCCTGAGAGAAAAAGTCGCAATAAAAAAAAAAAAAAAAAAAAAGAAAAAGAAAAAGAAAAAAAGAAAAAAAAAAGAGCACCACTCCGGCAGCACCTGCCGCATCAGTCAGAAGACGTTTAAGTGCAAGTTCTGCACATCGTTCCCGTCTTAGGCTATAGCCTCAAAAGCGAGGGTTCCTGGAGGAGTGCACGACGCAGGGACGCCACGCATGTCTGCAGCCCCTGCAGCACCGTCGGCATTGCGCACTTTTAATAAAACAGCACCATCACCACCGTGGGCAAAACAAGTGACCGACGCAAGTCATAGGAAAACGAAAGGCTGCGGACTGTGCCGCTGCCCCTCCCTGCGACGCCCCCTCCCCGCCACAGCCGTCATGCAGCATCCTTCAGGCACTGCAGACAGCAGCAGTCCCCACGGCCGCCGTGCCCGCTGCTGCCACAGCCCACCGCCGGCATGCCCGCGGCCACTTCCCACGGACCCTCCGCGCGCCGCGATCACCGACACACTCGCCACTCGCGCCCCCGCCGCACCGCCACAGCCCCCTCCGCGACAGCCTGCCCCGCAGTCTCCCCACGTACCCGGCTGCACCGCGCCACGGTCGCTTCCACACACCTACCCCCACGCAGCACCCCGCTAGTCCTGGTCGCTCCGTGTACCTTCGCCCCGCCGCGATCCCGCGATCACGCCCACGTACGTACCACCGCCTAGGACCCCCAGTGCCCCGGTCCGCCCACGTCCCCTCACCCCGCAGAACTGCGGTCTCCGCGATGGACCCACCTCCGCCCACGCCCCCAACCCACGGCGGTTGCCCTGCATGCTCCCCACCACCGCGGCCCTGCCGCCGCAGACACCCCAGCGGGACCCCAGGACCTGCCGCAGCACCACGGGTGGGGTGCGCCGGGGATGCGTCCCAGAGCAGCAGACAGGACGGCATCGGGCGGGACGGCACGCCGGCGCGCCTCGGAACGTTCCAGACCCGGTTCTCCAGAACAAAGGACTTCGGGGCCCACATTCCCCGTTTATACAATATTCCAAGCCCTGAGAGCTTGGAGTATCTGACGAATAAAAGCCGCCGCTCCCCAGGCTGTCTCCTGAGAGACGCCACGGGCGCAGCTGACCTTGCTCGCTCCATCGCGTCGCTGACGGCTCCTCAGACCGAAGCGTCAGACATCGCCGGCGGCCGCTCCGCTCTGCGCAGGACTCGCTGCGGCAGCGGCAGGCTTCACACAATCGCGCCTGCGCATGCGCACCAGCCCGCCCCTGCGGCCGCGCAGGCGCGCTCGTCTGCCGCAGTGCGGGCGTCCCAGCCCCCTCCCGGACCCACTGACCTGGTGGGAGGGGGGCTGCAGCATCCCTAAGGCTCCACCTCACTGCTGCATTGAGAAGGCCTCTGGAAATCATGAGCAACCTGGAATCAATGGACGGGGCTACCTATTTTTTAAAATGTGTAAAATACTAAAGAAAGAATTCTTGGTTCTACAAGAAATTTTTGCACACACCAAACAATCCTAATTTACACTCAGCCTCAGGTCTTCCCATGTGCGGTACAGAAAAGCTGGTTTGGAAAAGCTAAATGCTCCATAACCGCAATCAATGCAAATAGACCAGACTTGAAATCCCTCCGGAAGAAAAGATCCCTAAGTCTAAAAACATGCTACATTGTTCAGATTTGGTGGGATCTTTCTTCCCTTTTTCCACTTTCTACATTTTGAAGGGGTAGACTGTGAATATGATCAACCCCAAAATCGCGATATAATTAAAGTCTCCCATACAAAATGGATAGATCATTCAATTCAGAAACACTGGCTATTCACTTTTTGTAAAACAAAAATAGGAACTTAGACCCCCACCTAAGATCTAATTAGGAGAGTCCTTCTTTGCCTATTAGATTTGGATACATTTAAATTTTTACCAATAATCAGTGATAGCTAGAGTACGGGAAAACAGGCACTTTCATGCAATACTAACGGACGGGTAAACATGATTTTTGATCTAATTATATACTATCTGCAGAAATAACAGAAGCATTGGTAACTACAAAATTTAGACGTTGTTGTAGCTTAGGAAAAAGACACTGCTGGGAAGAGGAAGGAAATAATCCTGAAGCTGCATCTGCATAGCTTTTACACGCTTTTGCCCTTTCTCAATTGCCCATTATCTAACAAGGGAGGTGGTGGGAGTGGAGGTGGACTAAATGGTTAAATCCCCTCCCAAGTCCTCTGAGCTACTGCTCAGTTCCCAATGATACTACATTAAAACAAGTGTGCAGGGGCTTATTAATGCTGACTTTTATCATAATAAAATCTCAGAAATTGTGTACTGTTCCTCACAGAGAACATATAGGCTAAATAAATTAATGTATATATAAACAATAACATGCAATATGGCTGATGGAAAGAATGATCTGTTCGGCTGAACAATATAAAACTGTCAATATTCAATTTTTTGACCTATAAAAACATTGTAACTTCTAACAGCTCACTGATACATACTCACATAAAATAACACGGGAAGTTCACTCTGATCATGAGAGTAAATCGAAAAATAAAATGTAGGGCAGGCACAGTGACTCATGCCAGTAATCCCAGCACTTTGGGAGGCCGACATAGGCAGATCATGAAGTCAGGAGATCTAGACCATTCTGGCCAACATGGTGAAACCCCATCTCTACTAAAAATACAAAAATCAGCTGAGCATGGTGGTGTGAACCTGTGGTCCCCAGCTACTTGGAGGCTAAGGCAGGAATCACTTGAACACGGGAGGCAGAGGTTGCAGTGAGCCGAGATCGTGCCACTGCACTCCAGCCTGGTGACAGAGCGAGATTGTCTCAAAAATAATAATAAATAAGTAAAATGTAAAATTAACTATTTGAAGGTTATTTTGTATGTTTACTCATACACTGAAAAAATTATGAAAGTATTACATACCACTATTGTTCAGTGATGAAAACCATGCCTTTGGACTAAGGCCCTTTTTTTTTTTTTTTTTTGAGACGGAGTTTCGCTCTTGGTACCTAGACTGGAGTGCAATGGCGCGATCTCGGCTCACCGCAACCTCCGCCTCCTGGGTTCAGGCAATTCTCCTGCCTCAGCCTCCTGAGTAGCTGGGATTACAGGCACATGCCACCATGCCCAGCTAATGTTTTGCATTTTTAGTAAAGACGGGGTTTCACCATGTTGACCTGGATGGTCTCAATCTCTTGACCTCGTGATCCACCCGCCTCAGCCTCCCAAAGTGCTGGGATTACAGGCTTGAGCCACCACACCCGGCCAGACTCAGGCTCTTTTGATTTAAATTCTAGTTTTGACTCTTGACAACAATGTTACTTTGAGCAAATTACTTAACCTTCTGTGCATTAAATTCCTAATCTGTGACATGAGCAGATTACTTTATACAATGTATTTACTTTATGCAATGGCTTAACAATTAAATGAGCTAAAATACTATTTAGAACAGGTCCTAGTACAGACTAAAAGCAGCATAAAAATATTGGTTCTTAGAACTTCACCAAATGTTACAATACTACTTCCTGTAGAAGTAGGAATTGGGTATTCATTTTTTATTTGTTGTTTTAACTAATGTCCGTATCTTACTGTATTTACTCATTTTTTCCCTGATATACTTTTTCCATTGTAGACACCAAACTTACATGCCACCAACATTATAATCATGTTTCTTTAGGCTTCTCTTGGCTGTCACAATTTGAGATTGCTTTGTATTTTTAATTTTTACCATGCTTGGTATTTTTTGCAATGATTATGAATTACTTTTACAATTAAAATATAAGGGCCGGGCGCGGTGGCTCAAGCCTGTAATCCCAGCACTTTGGGAGGCCGAGGCGGGTGGATCACGAGGTCAAGAGATGGAGACCATCCTGGTCAACATGGTGAAACCCCGTCTCTACTAAAAATACAAAAATTAGCTGGGCATGGTGGCGCACGCCTGTAGTCCCAGCTACTAGGGAGGCTGAGGCAGGAGAATTGCTTGAACCCAGGGGGCGGAGGTTGCGGTGAGCCGAGATCGTGCCATTGCACTCCAGCCTGGGTAACAAGAGCGAAACCCCGTCTCAAAAAAAAAAAAAAAAAAAAAAAAGTATTGGGGCCGGGCACGGTGGCTCACACTTATAATCCCAGCACTTTGGCAGTCAGAGGCGGGTGGATCATGAGGTCAAGAAATCGAGACCATTCTGGTCAACAAGGTGAAACCCCATCTCTACTAAAAACACAAAAATTAGCTGGACATGGTGGCGCGCACCTGTAGTCCCAGCTACTTGGGAGGCTGAGACAGGAGAATTGCCTGAACCCAGGAGGCGGAGGTTGCGGTGAGCTGAGATCATGCCATTGTACTCCAGTCTGGGTAACAACAGTGAAACTCCATTTCAAAAAATAAATAAAATAAAATAAAATATAAGTATTATTAAAATGGGGTAAAATTGTATTCAATTCTCAACTAGCACTTGATGATCAAGTTTCTTGGACCTGTCTTCCATTGCTTCTGGTGTGTTCTCTTTCAAACTCTGACTGCCTTTCCTCATAATCTCCTTTCTTCTAATGCATTAGGAAATTCGCTTTGGAGTCTGAGAAGTCATAATGGGTGTCCTGGGCTTTACAGAAAATCCAAAGAGAACTGCCACTAGGCTCACTCATCTCCTTAGAGGATATTTCACATTAGTTAATACAGTAATAGGGCTGATTCAGCATCTCCTGCAACTAGTGAGTGAAGACACAGAGAAGACATTGTCACTAAATTCCACTATTATATGCTAGTAGACCCTGATGGGTCTCCCAACAATTCAGTTTTCCCAAAGTATGCACTCATCCCCAAGCGTAACACTTAAGGTTATGTGTTTAAAGGACACTAAACCTGCAGTAAAACTATTCTGTGTAGAATACACAAAGGAGATCACGAAAACTAATCAGAACCCTTGCACCAAACCATGTACAAAAATTAAAATAGATCAATAAAATGTCAATTGTTATAGAAGAAAACATATATACACATTATACATGCATACATGTGCACATATATACATATATGACACCTAAAACAAAAGCAACCAGAAATAATAAACTGAACTTCATCACAGTTACATAAAAATTTTTGCTTCAAGGGATGTTAAGAAAGTGAAAAGACAGCCAAGAGAAAGGGAGAAAATCATGAAGCTAACAGGAGTGTAGTATTCAGAATGTATAAAGTGTTACGCCGGGCGCGGTGGCTCAAGCTTGTAAACCCAGCGCTTTGGGAGGCTGAGGCGGGTGGATCACGAGGTCAAGAGATTGAGACCATCCTGGTAACAAGGGGAAACCCCGTCTCTACTAAAAATACAAAAATTAGCTGGGCATGGTGGCGCGTGCCTGTAATCCCAGCTACTCAGGAGGCTAAGGCAGGAGAATTGCCTGAACCCAGGAAACGGAGGTTGCGGTGAGCCGAGATCGCGCCAATGCACTCCAGCCTGGGTAACAAGAGCGAAACTCCGTCTCAAAAAAAAAAAAAAAAAAAAAAAGTGTTACTACTGGGCTGGGAGCGGTGGCTCGTAACTGTAATCTCAGCACTTTGGGAGGCCAAGGCAGGTGGATCACTTGAGGCCAGCAGTTTGAGACTAGCCTGCTGAAACCTTGTCTTTATTAAAAATATAAAAATTAGCTGCGTATAGTGGCACATGTCTGCAGTCCCAGCTACTCGGGAGGCTGAGGTAGGAAAAACCCTTGAACCCAGGAGGCGGGGACTGCAGTGATCTGAAATCAGGCCACTGCACTCTAGCTTCAGTGACAGAGTGAGACTCAGTCTCAAAAAAAAAAAAAAGTGTTACTATTCAACAATAAAAGGAAAAAAAAATTTTTTAATGGGCAAAGGATTAAAATAGTTCTCAAATACCAATGGCCAATAAGCACATGAAAAGATAGAATCTCAAGTCAAGAGAGAACTACCAATGAAAACCACAATGAGATCCCACTTGGGGCTATAATTAAAAAGACAATGACAAGTGTTAGGGAGAGGGTGGAGAAATTGGAACTCTCTAACACTGCTGATTGGAATGTAAAACAGCACAGCCACAGTGAAAGAGTTTGGCAATGCTTACAATGTTAACCCTGAAGTTACCAAATGACCTACAATTCTACTAAGTACATCCAAAAGAAATAAAAACAGCTGAGTGCAGTGATTCACGCCTGTAACCCCAGCACTTTGGAAGACAGGGCAGGTGGATCACCTGAGGTCAGGAGTTCGTGTCCAGCCTGACCAACACAGTGAAACCCCATCTCTATTAAGAAATACAAAATT